TTCTTGGCCTGCCAGCTCTGTCCCCATGCATGCTCCCAAAGAGAGGGCTGGAGAAGAATCCTCCCCCGGAGGCTCTTTTCTGGTCTCTGTGACAGTGGGCAACCACACCCATGCATGCTAGCAGGAGTGCACAAGGGTCACGTCTTCTTTGGTGTTCAGCATGGCTCAGAGCCGAGGCAACCAGATGTGACCATCAGCAAGTCACTTTGCATTGGCCAACACTGACAGCTTCACCAAGCCCTTCTCCCAAGCACACGGCAGGTTCGACAGCTCAGAGCACCAGCTCTGGCACCTGCTGAGTCCAGCTCCTCATTGCAGCTAGTCCGAAAATGTCAGAATTTGTGGGGGCTGATAACCTCTCCTCTCCCTCTTGGCAACTTGTCTCCTCTCCCCACGCCACCCCAGTGGCTACGTCTTTGGCAAGGCACAAGGGATATCTCAGCCACTGAAGGCGCTGGGGACTTCTGCAGAGCAAGAAGCCCTGCCCAGGCCACAATCCACTGTATTTTCTCAGCAAGTTCAACCCAAATTATTTCCCCCTGGGGTACAGGGAGCAACCTGCATCTTGGCACAAAGAGTGGCTTAGCAAAACGAAGCTGACTGATTCAACACCAGACTGGGTGGGAAGAGGAGTCGTAGTCACTCTCCCTGGGTTTGGCTGAAGTGGACAAAGGAAGACCAGAGGCCTGGGGCTACCTGAATAGTGACAAAATGTGGAGAGAATCCTCTCCCCAGAGAATGCTCTCTGAGCAAAGACAAGGAGCCGGCGGCTGGAAAAGTAGCTCTGTCATTAGCGAGCCAGGCCTGTCTTGAAAGCCAGGGAGCAACGACAGCTTTCCCCGGCTGGGAGCTTGTTGCATCGCCTGGGCTCTGAGCCGCATGCCTCGAGGCATCCCAGCCTCCGAAGAGTCCTTCCATCAGAAGCGATCAGCATCAGCTGTCGCCTTCCCCCTCCACCCGCAGCTTCTCCCGGTTGTTCATGGTGACAGCTGGCACTAATGGCTCGAGCAGGTCCCACACATGGGCACAGGCCAGCAGGTCCCAACCATGCTCCAGCTCACAGGTCTCCATTTCCAAGTTAGGGGGAAGAGTCACCGGCTGAGACACCAAGGTTTTTCCATCGTGGAGCAAAGCGCTTCGATGCTTGGCTGCAGGTCTTGTGTGCACTAGCCCCGCACCAGCAGCATCAAGGCCCCTGGCACAATTCACGGCACAAAGTAAGGGCTTGAGCCCAGGTCAGAGGGGTGGACCTGGCACCTTTGACCTTCCTGTGCATTCAGGCTCCAGCATCTTGGCTCCCTGGGCTGCACTGGCTGACATCCCCTGGCAAAGGGGGCTATCTCCAGGCCTCAGGAGCTGGTGGTAGAACGGTGGAGAAATAAGACAACCCCTGATCCCACATGAAACAGCATTGTCTTCGTACGGCTAATTCCTGAGACAGGTGCACGCCCCGGCTGGATTTCACGCCCTAGCAAAGGTGTCTCTTTTGCCTTTGTGGGAAGCAGGGGGGAAGATGGGGGTGTTGGCAACGGCTCCCTGCCCCCGTCCTTTAACTAGAGGCCTGTGTGTTTCATGTGGTCCCCACGGGCCCATGCAAGCTTTCATCTCCTAGAGGCGCTGCCCACAAGCACGAGGTATTAACACCCAGATCAAACGTGCCGCGCTGCAGAGATCAGACGCTGCAGCCCCCACACGGGACAGCTGTGCCTATCCCCAGAGGCCGCCCCCGGCACCGGTGCCAGCTGCTTCAGAGCCTGCCAGATAAATGAATCCGTAGCTCGCGTCCACGGGAGACCTACTGTGTTCACTGGGGAACCTTGCAAAGGAAATTTTTCCTCTAAGTGTGGAACCAGGCTGCCTTGGGGCACAGCCCTCGTGGGGTGCTGGGCACTTGGCAGAGAATTTAAACCCAGTCTCTGGACGAAGAGCTCTCCATGGAGGCATGGGAGCAACACGGGCCAGAGAGGGGAGGGCAGGAGCCAATGTCCACCAACCCTGCACAGCTGCTGATTGCTGTTGTGCTGGTTTGTCAGAGGGGTAAACTGAGGAACAAATAGAGATGTTTTATGAAGCACATCGGTGGCAGGCCTGCAGGGCCCCTGCTCACTTCCCATAACTGTGCCATGCTTCCCATTGGAGTGGAATTGAGTGTTGGGCTGACAGGGTCATGCAGGACAGCCATGGCAGGTTGCCAGAGCCCAGCATGAGCGGCGCTGAGCCTGCACAACTGCGCTGAACTCAGAACATACCCCCTGGCTCTGCGCGCTGATGGGGAGGCAACCAGAATTTCCCTGTCACCCGAAAACCTTTTCTTGAAAACTGAAGGTTAAACCACAAGCAGCCACGAGAGAGGCTGAAAAGCCCCCGGACCAGGTCTGAACACGGCAGGAAAACCCCAGCAGAGACCGTGGCCCAAAGGCGGCGGTGGCTGTGACGCAGGCAGCTTCCGTGTCCCCTGAGCAGACGTGTCTTTGTCCTGGTGTTGGTGCATCTGGCGACGGCTGTGGAGAATCCTCCAGGTACGTCCAGGGTGAAGACTGCCAGAGCCTAGTAAATGCGGCCGGGCTCAGGGCACTGTGCCGTTAGCCAGCTACGCACGGCCTCATCCCCGGACTGATCTCCCTTGCTCCTGTCTGGATGAAGGCCTGTGGGGTAGGACAGTGCTACCCTGGTTGAGCTCAATGCCCAGGGTCACCACCCTGATCCACGTGGCGAAGGAGAACAGAGCAAACCATCTCCGGAGACGACCAAGCCCTCGTGTGGGAAGCACCAGCCCCATCCTCCGTGCAGCTGCCATCTGCTTGTCCTCGGGGCATGTGGAGCTGCTGCCCAGAGCTGCTGCGTGTCGCTTCACCACGGGGCATCGTCGGGGGCTTTCCAGCAGCGGGTGAGAGGGGCCACTGCAGAGGCTCTTGGGGACCCTGTAAATGATGAGGGTTGCTTTTGAACATGGAGAACTGGCCTGTTTGGCCCTGCCAGCAGCCCCAGGGACTGGAAATGCTGACTGCCTCCTGCAGGAGAAGGTTCAGTGGCTGCTACCTACCACCTCAGAAGGGCATCCAGCCTCCTTCAGCCGGCAGCGGGGAATGGATAGAAGAGTGTGGTCCCAGGCCGGCTTGCACCTTCATCCTGCCTGGCCCCCTGGCAGCAGGCATGGGCTTGGGCAGCCTCCAGCCCCAGCTGAGTGGCAAGTGAGAATGGAGGTGGAAGCACTGGGAATTTCCAGCCCTGCCAGAGCTCACGTAGAGCCCTTGGGTCCGAAGCTGGACTCGGGGGCAGCCAGGACGGAAGTGCTGGAGACTGCAGGTGACAGGTCAAGGCTGGGCTGCAGAAGCTTAGCCTGGGGCAGCAGATGGAATCGGGGTGCAGGCTCTTGAAAGGGCATGGGGGCATGGTGGCAAGGACTCCTGGGTTCCTGCCATGGGGAATGGTCTCTGTGTTAGCCCCACAGTGCAAGCAGAGTCTCCACCAAGGGCCAGAGCTGTCAGCAGGGAGCGTGCGACTGCTGGTAGTGGCTCTGATCCTCCCGTGACCGGTGTAGGCCCAACTGGCTCCTTGCTGAGCCCATTCCCCCAGCACTTGGCGCCCATGCTGCGGAGGTGCTGGCAAAGCAGCCGGGGACAACTTGGATGCGGGGTCTGGGCTTTATGGCCGCGGTGTGTTTTCATGTCTTGCAGTCTCCTCCCCCACAGTCGGCAAGCCCTACAAGTGCAACTACTGCGGGCGCAGCTACAAGCAGCAGAGCACGCTGGAGGAGCACAAGGAGCGCTGCCACAACTACCTGCAGAGCCTCAGCGCGGAGCCACAGGCGCTGGCCAGCCAGCCAGGTCAGTCTGCATTGGGTGGCAGGGGGCTGCTGGCGGGGCCCAGGAACGTGGGGCTCTGGGCTCCCAGCACCTCTTCACTGCTGCTGGAGCTTTTGCTCCATGTCCCAGTACCTGCCCTGGAAAGAAAGCAGCAGCCCGGAGCCTGGGAGCACAGACCTCCCTGCCTGGTGGGGTATCTGGGCATTGCTTGTCATGGTCCCGGGGAGTGGAGCTGCCGGGTCCCTGGGTTGGGGTGTAGCCGTGCCACCCCTGCCCTTGCCACGGGCTGAGCAGCTTTCCCTTGTCTCGGCAGGCGACGATATGCGGGACCTGGAGATTGTGCCGGACTCCATGCTGCACCCGTCGGCCGACCGGCCCGCATTCATCGACCGGCTGGCCAACAGCCTCACCAAGCGCAAACGCTCGACCCCGCAGAAGTTTGTGGGTAAGGGGCTCCCCGGCATCGCCCCTGGGGCACCGGAGGGGGGAGAGGCCAAGCCAGGCTGGGCTGCCCCACTCCTAGGCTGCACAGCACCTGCTTGGGTCCCCCAAGCACATCCCGGATCCCTCAGCCTCCACCTCACCCCACGTGGAACATGGCAGCTGCTCTGCACCACGGACACCCCCAGCTTGGACAGAGAGAACCAAAGGGTTCTCCTGTCAAATTGGCATAGGGGGGCATCTGTGGGGTGGGCAGGCACCACCCCCACCAAGGCAGGACCCCTGAGAGCCATGTGGACCCCCAGGCTCTTGCCCAGAGCCGTGGCAGGGAGGGGGACTCTATGCTGCTTCCGAACACAGATGGGAGGGAGCAGGAGACCTCACCTCCCTGGACACGCAGAGTCCCCCCAGCTCTGTGCAGAGGCTCCGGGGTCAGGCCAAAGCAGGTGCAGCCCCATTGCATCTCTGTGGCCTCCCTCAGTTTTTTTCGGGGGGTTCAGCCAAGCTCCGGGGGGGGCCACAGTCTTGACACCATCTGCAGGCAGTCACGGGGACCTGCCATGAGCCTCCTGACTTGGCTCCTTCCCCGCAGGGGAGAAGCAGATGCGCTTCAGCCTCTCGGACCTGCCCTTCGACGTGAATGCCGCCTTCGAGAAAGACGTGGAGATGGTGGCGGCCCACCACCCCCTGGACCCCAGCTATGGCGGCTCGCTCTCCTTCGTGGGCAGTGAACACCTGCGCCCCCTCCGCCTGCCCCCCACAAACTGCATCTCGGAGGTCACGCCTGTCATCAGCTCCGTCTACACCCAGATCCAGCCCCTGCCCGGGCGGCTGGAGATCCCAGGGGGCCGCGAGGCCACCGAGGGCCACGATGACCTGCCTGATGGGGCGCCTGGCCTGTACCGGGGCCGTGACCTGGCTGCCTCACCCAGCAATGGCTGCCAGGATTCTACCGACACGGAGAGCAACCACGAGGAGCGGACAGGGCCACCACTGCCTGTGGGGCCCTGCGCCGGCAGCCGGCACAGCCCCGCCTACGCCAAAGAGGACCCCAAGGGGCCAGAGGGTGCCCCTGCCGCCCGGGGCACGCCCAGCTCAGCCAAAGACGTCCTGCGGGTGCTGAACGCGGACGGGGAGCAGGTGAAGGCCTTCAAGTGCGAGCACTGCCGCATCCTCTTCCTGGACCACGTCATGTTCACCATCCACATGGGCTGCCACGGCTTCAGAGACCCCTTCGAGTGCC